GCAGCGTTATGCAGCCATACAACTTTATCGAGCCGCACAAGCTGATGTTGTTAATGCTCAACCACTATTACAAGTAAGGAAACCAATGTTATCTGAGAGTTTAATGGAAGCGTAGACATTTAATTGTTAACAAAAGCTGTTGCTGAAGTTATACCATTCATCGAGCACACAAATGATTGGTACTGCGGAATCTTGATCATGATTATGTTAGATTTTTGGTGATGAGTTATATTGAATGGTGCTTATAATAGAAGTATGAATCCAGTTCCACTTGAATTTTTTTTATCGGAAGATGAGTATAGAGCTACTACGTAAAAGGAAATAAAGGATTCGTGTTCTTATTTTGCTTGCTTTAAGGTAGCGTTTTGGACGATTGGCGAATTTGGTGATATCATACTTCAGCTGAATGATGATGACGTAATCAAGGTCTGTTCTAAGCTTTTTTATGTAGGGATACAATAAATTGATTCAAATAGTGCGAAATTTTAAGTTTAAAAAGTATTTTTGGGGAACTCTCCATTGATTCTGTTGGAAGTTGTTCTCCTAACTAGCTTCTGTTCAAAGGTGGAAGAGTCGAGTATCATCGATGTCTTTGAACGAATACTACCAAGTAATTTGACAAGTGCTATAACCAAATCGTACGCGTTAACAGCTTTAGCAAAATTGGATACAAGATTTAATGAGACAAATAAGTATGTTATTCAAAAAAGTTTGTCTTTACTTGCGCTCTGTTAAAAGAGTAATATATTTCCGATTTTTCGGTATTTCAATAATTGGAAGAATTTGTAATTGTTTGGATTTATTCGTATTCAGTTTGTAAGTATTCATTTTTTTAAAGGAACATTTGAATTTTTTGTTGCAGTCGGATTCGTCAGATGATTGAGTCGAACAAAGGACATCTTCATCTCGAGCTTCAACAACGATCAGTTGAATTTTCTCGTTTATTGAACTATGGAGAATTGAAGTAAACTTTTTCGTAATTTTTTTCTTTTGCATACAAATATAGTTTGACAAATGAGAAATGATCGTTGATGTTGTTAAAAAAAAAAAAAAAAAAAAACTGTGCTTTGCTAAAAGAGTAACATGTTTTCGATTTTTCGGCATTTCAAGAATTTGAATATTATTGGACATTTTGAAGTAAAGTGATATATTT